AAAGAGTTAATGTACCTCTGTGCTGCTTCAGGGGAGCACGGTAGGTGCCACTGGGGTTTAGGTGCTCTCCATCCCCATTAGCGCTCTGGGGAGGAGGGTTTGGTGACATGACCCTGCTGCTCGCTGCCCGCTCGGTTCCTGCTCCACCCAAGGCTTCCTGTGTCATCCAGGCAATGCACTTGCTGTGAAACATTCAAACCCCACAGTCACCCCAAACCTTTCAGTTCCTTCCGTTCTCCTCACTGGATCCCCAAGCAGCCTCGTTGCTGGTGCTGGGCATTCCCCATTTAGGAACCCCAAATAGGAGGGTTCTGTTGGGGTACTCGGTGCTGGCCTGGGTGCTGTGAATAAAACCAAGGTGCTGCTATGCCATACATGTCTGGGACAGAGCAGCATCACCTCCTGGGGGTTGATGGGGAGGGCAAGCAGACGGAGAAGCCAGTGGGAAATGATGGCTTTTCCTGCAGGAGGGAAATCCCAGTAGCTTTTTCCTTCCAGATGTTTCCTTGTGTTGCTGATGCATTCACCCCAGTCGTTTGAGCTTGGCAGACATTGCCTCAGGTCTTGGGTAAGGACACCCAGTAGGTGACAGTTATACTCTTGGAAGAGGCAATGATGCCTGGCAGAGGGTCTGTGCTCCCTGCAACTTGCAGCTCCCTGCTTTTGGAAGTCTGTTTTGCTGTCAGTTCAGGGGGTTGCTGGCTGATAAATCACCTCATACAACATTAGGTGCTGGCCTAAGAATGTGCTCTCCACGTTGCTGGTTGTAAGTCACCCCTGTCACTATCCCTTAGGGTCCCCTGACCCCCTTCTTCTCTTGAAGGGCTCCTCGGCCCTCACAAGTCGGGCAACAAAGGTGACAATTTCAAGCTGATTGCTGGTTTTGTCCTTGAAAGAACGAGTTAAATGTAGATCCAGAGACTTCACCCACTTTCCATTCTCCTGCTAATATTTGTGGGTTTGTGATTGCATTTTCCTGTGATTTAAATTATTTCCTGTTCTTGGTTGCTGCCTGAAAGAGGGGCACAAACAAGAGGGAACTGACTGCGCAGGTCAGGAGTGGAACCCCATCAAACCAGCTTCCCATGCCATCAGAGCAGGTACTCCTCTCCATCCCTTCCTTTACAGTTGTCTGTAGGGTTATCCCAACCCTGGGCAGCAGGCAGCCCTCCTGTGCGGCTGTAGTAGGTGGTGATAGACTCGGGAGAGGTTGGAGCGGGCAGGTTTGGGGTTAATGTTCGCTGTGATTAGTGCTGGAAAAAAAATGGGAAGGAAACCACATGTTTTAATGAAAAGCCTCCGTCTCCTCCTTGCAATTAGCTGCCTTCAGCTGGTTATTGATGCCAGCAGAGCGCGTTTACGGATCTAGGTCAGCAAAAGGCCCTCGAGCGATCTGGGCTCCAGATGTTTGCTGCTTTGGGCCATGGGCCTCTCTTGGAGGTCCTGGGGTCTGAACTGCAGTGTGCTACTTGTTGATGGATGTGCAGAGAAATCGGTGTGTCCTGTTCTCTCTTGTGTTCCTGGGGCACATAAAAGGATGTTTGGATGCTTGGGAGGAAGATATAAAATCAAGATTTCAGAGATTCTTCCAAGCAAATAATTTAGGGACCTTTGAGCAAGAGGAAAAGATGTTAAACTTCAGTGTTTTGGCCAAGTCGTGCTTGGATGTTCAAATCCTACCTACAACTTCTCTTTGAGCTACATTTGAAGATAGGTTTTGTTGTTTCCTTGTTTTTAATATGTTTGTGCTTTTCAGCTCTAGAAGAGCAGCTTCTACTCTGTAGCCTGGAGGTAGCTGTTTCAGTAGGAGACAGAGTAAATCCTCACAGTGCTGGGAGGCACCAGACACATGCATAAGAACACCAGAAAGACAACTGCCAGGACACCACAGGTTATATTTGTAGTTGGATGCAGGTCGTTCTGAACAATTTCACCCTATGCAGATTTAGCCATGATGAAAAAGCCTTGTGGCTTAAAAATCATCCAGGTCATGATTCCGTGCGCAAAACCTCACTGTACTTAGTGCTAAATAGCAACTGCTCCCATGTGAAGCTGGTTTGGAGCCTCATACCTGGGCACAGGGGGATGGCCGGGCTCTCACCGTTCACAAAGACCTTTTTTCTTCTTTCAAAACACTTCCTAGGGTGGATTTCTTTTCTCAGCTGAATGTGAGTGTCAGTGGGAAGGCATTTGAATATCACAAAGCCAGAATTCCTCGATTTCTCTCCAGCGATGCTCTCCGCCTTGCAACACTCATTTAATTCTTCCTGCTTGTTTGCTTTGCTTTTCAGCTGGGATGAGTCACTTATGCTAACAGAGCTGACTGGGGAGTTACGGGGAGAGCTTCTACTCCTACTAAAACGCTGCCACTCTCTTAGTTTTGTGGAGGTTTATGGCCTGTCTCCTATTCAGTACAGTTAAAATTAATTTCATGCCCCAGTTCATTCCAGTGTTTGCAGCTTCAAAAGCTTTTAAGTCTTATTTAGCTGCCTCGCTGTGCTCTGTTACTGTCTGCTTGGGTCCCTTTGGTTCACCTGTGAGTGCAGGCTGTGAGCTAACATGGTTAATTTTGTATGCTACATCTGCCACGTGAGCTCCAGCCCTGCTGAGTGGTGTGTTCCAAAGACTTGACCTACCTTTGATGGAACCATGGCCTTTCTGTTTGAAACACCTGCTTTGTTGGAGGGAAGGGCTCTGCCACTCAATCCTCAAGAAAGAAGAGAGCAACATGGCATTTAGTGCCTTTGTTTTCATAGGGATGGGGTGAGCTTTGTCCCCATAGCTAGCTTGCCTCTTGCTTTTGGCTTTGCAATGGAGTGAGGAGTTCCTTCAAGACGTGTTACAGCCCCGAACACAACTGGAGGCCACTTGGAATGATTCTGCATCACCAGAGGAAGTTGCAAAGACCCTTTGCTGAAATACAGCAGCAAATGCAGAGGATGCTTGTCCACCACTTAAGCACCAGTGCATCTGGTCTGGGTCTCTTATTTCAGTGTTTTGCCAGCTGGATGTACAAGGATGAAAGCTTCTCTTCTCCCCTCCCGTGGCAGTGATTTTTCGTGTTCTCTAGACTGCTGGCACCAGAGATACTAACCTTCTTTCCTCACTGTGTTTGAGAAATGACAAGATGTTGTTCACATGAGCAGGATCAATTACCTGCTGTCTACCTGTCTGTTCTCCGAGGGGGCCTTCATCTCTCCAGTAGGAGATTCCTACTCGGTCAGCCATGAAAAGCAGCCCAGTAGGACTCTCCTCCCCCCTCTCCTGAAGCAGTCATCTTGAAATCATAGTCTGTGGGATTTGTGTTTGAAAGCGAAATGTGAGCTTCCGAGCCTTGACAAAGCACAGGGAAGGAAAACTGAGGGTAAGTACGTGCAAGGTGCTGTTCACAGGGTTTGCCTTAAACCTTTCCCTCAAGAGCTGCTTGCTTTTATGCTGAAATTGAGAGATGTTGGGGTGAAACCAGGCTGCATCCCCTCAAGGTGCTTGGAGGGCATTGGAAAACCAGGGTCTGAGAGCACATTTAAAACAGATCAAGAGCTCGGTGTGATCTGATTTGTGGTGTGTCCACATCCAGCAGCAGCAAAGCTGTGTGCACTGTTAGCATCGGCACATCTGGGTTGCTCTCTGCAGCTGTGAGCTTTTGTTTTTGGGGGGGTGGATAAGGAGACTTTGCAGAATAAAAGTCTTAAGTCAGGATTTTCGGAGAGGTTTAGGGGCTTCTGAATATCTTTTTCTTTTCAATATCCTCCCCACTATCCTTCTCCCCAAAGAGCAGAGCAGCTTAACAGCTCTGCCTTTCCAAATCACTTGTCACTTTGGAAAATTTAAGTGATCTTTTCATTACTGGCTGTTTAGGGGTTTTAGTAGCTCTGTATTGCCTCTAAATTCATAGTTGAAGCCTGACATGTAGCACAAATGCTCTTCCAAACCCTGTCATTATTAATGCATTCTCTTTCGGGTCTTTTTATTAGTGCTTGTAGACGTTTTCCTCATTAGAAATTCACCTAGCAGCTCCCCGCTCATCTCATTCAAGGTTTCTCATCTCTTTTATTCTCTGTTGGCATGCACTAGGGCAGAAGTATTACCTTGTGATGAATTACTAAATGATGGAGACACACACTTCAACCTTCTGCTGCTTTCTCTTGCCAGTAAAAAGCCAAGTACT